ACGATCAGCATCAGTGTTCACACACACACTGATGTCACTGAATACACTCCTCAGCCCTGATCTCGCTCACCTTGATGGCGGGGTGTGTTTTGGTGGTGTCGTTGCTCTTCTCTCCCGGGATGCTCCCGGCGGATCGGCCCTCACACTTATAGCGGAAGCGCATGCCTCGAGCTTTCGGCTGCTCGATCACCTCCACGTACGGAGGCCCTTGAGGAACACACACACACACACACACTGATGATCTACAGCTCACACACACACACACACACACACACACACACACACACACACACACACACACACACACTGATGATCAACAGCTCTCTCACTCACACACACACACACACACACACACACACACACACACACCGCCTCGAGCTTTCGGCTGCTCGATCACCTCCACGTACGGAGGCCCTTGAGGAACACACACACACACACACACTGATGATCAACAGCTCTCACACACACACACACACACACACACACACACACACACACACACACACTGATGATCAACAGCTCTCTCACACACACACACACACACACACACACACACACTGATGATCAACAGCTCTCACACACACACACACACACACACACACACACACACACACACACACGCCTCGAGCTTTCGGCTGCTCGATCACCTCCACGTACGGAGGCCCTTGAGGAACACACACACACACACACACTGATGATCAACAGCTCTCTCACACACACACACACACACACACACACACACACACACACACACACACACACACACACACACACACTGATGATCTACAGCTCTCACACACACACACACACACACACACACACACACACACACACACACACACACACACCTCGAGCTTTCGGCTGCTCGATCACCTCCACGTACGGAGGCCCTTGAGGAACACACACACACACACACACTGATGATCAACAGCTCTCTCACACACACACACACACACACACACACACACACACACACACACACACACACACTGATGATCTACAGCTCTCACACACACACACACACACACACACACACACCTCGAGCTTTCGGCTGCTCGATCACCTCCACGTACGGAGGCCCTTGAGGAACACACACACACACTGATGATCTACAGCTCACACACACACACACACACACACACACACACTGATGATCTACAGCTCTCACACACACACACACACACACACACACCTCGAGCTTTCGGCTGCTCGATCACCTCCACGTACGGAGGCCCTTCAGGAACACACACACACACTGATGATCTACAGCTCACACACACACACACACACACACACACACACACACACACTGATGATCTACAGCTCACACACCACACACACACACACACACACACACACACACACACCTCGAGCTTTCGGCTGCTCGATCACCTCCACGTACGGAGGCCCTTCAGGAACACACACACACACTGATGATCTACAGCTCACACACACACACACACACACACACACACACACACACACACACACACACGCCTCGAGCTTTCGGCTGCTCGATCACCTCCACATACGGAGGCCCTTCAGGAACACACACACACACACTGATGATCTACAGCTCTCACACACACACACACACACACGCCTCGAGCTTTCGGCTGCTCGATCACCTCCACATACGGAGGCCCTTGAGGAACACACACACACACACACACACACACACTGATGATCAACAGCTCTCACACACACACACACACACACACACACACTGATGATCTACAGCTCTCACACACACACACACACACACACACACACACACACACACACACGCCTCGAGCTTTCGGCTGCTCGATCACCTCCACGTACGGAGGCCCTTCAGGAACACACACACACACACACACACACACACACTGATGATCAACAGCTCTCTCACACACACACACACACACACACACACGCCTCAAGCTTTCGGCTGCTCGATCACCTCCACGTACGGAGGCCCTTGAGGAACACACACACACACTGATGATCTACAGCTCTCACACACACACACACACAAACACACACACACACTGATGAACACACACACACACTGATGATCAACAGCTCTCACACACACACACACACACACACACTGATGAATACACACACACACACACACTGATGAACACACACACACACACTGATGAACACACACACACATTGATGATCAACAGCTCTCACACACACACACACACACACACACACACGGTTCCTACCTTGGGACACCGGGGACGCTCCCCACTGGTGAAACAGTCCTGGAAGAACCAGTGAAAGATTAGAGACACAGAGCAGTTTATACACAGAAGATGAGCTCTCGAGAGACACACACGCCTGAGCGAGACACGACACACACACACACACACACGCACAAGCACACGAGTCCGACACGCCTGAGCGAGACACGACACACACACACACACACAAGCCTGAGCGAGACACGACACACACACACACACACAAGCCTGAGCGAGACACGACACACACACACACACACACACACACAGGAGTCCGACACGCCTGAGCGAGACACGACACACACTCATCTCATTATCATCAACTATTCAGCTTTATCGCAGCTTCACTGAACAACACTGAATTATTATGATTACAATAAAACATCAATACACACCCTTGGTCTAACATAAACTAGATTTAAAAGATTTAAAAATGTTTCATTCATTTAAAAGAATTATTTAAATAAATCGGTTTGAGTGAATGATTCAATGACTCACTCATAAATGCAAATGAAAAAATTATTCAATGACAAATACATTTTTTAACATTAAGCTTATTTATGATAATATTACATAGCTTGGGCTATGTAATATTATCATAAATAAGCTAAATATAATTTCCCCTATTTGGATGGCAAAACGTGATTTAAACTCAAATGATTGTGATTAGATCGAATAACCACGATTAATCAATAACTGCATTAAAGAGTAAAACTTCACATAAAAGTATAAAAACATATACAGATACAAATATACAAATCATGCTCAGGAGAACAATACAAACAAAAAGTAATAATGCGACAAACTCTGAATATCTGGTTTGACTGAGGTTGTTATTTTAATGATTATTTAATTGAGGATTATTTTGCTTCCAAGAAGATTTTGTTCACTCCTAGTTGGTGGTAAAATATTAAATATGAAGGAATATTAAATATTGAACACGGCTCTCTCCAGTGAGTTCATGTTTTTACTCGCGGCTGACCTCGCGTAATGAAGGCGGAGCCTCAGAGCCACACCCACCTATGACATCATCACCACGGACCAATGGGAGTGCATGAAGGCGTTTAGCAAACGTTTCTGGAAAGTTGTTTTGAACTGAAACTGAAACGAACGTCGCCTTGGCCTTGCAGGAGAGAACGAGTGAGACTTTAGACGAAACCCACAGATATTTAATGTTGGGGAAGATCTATTAAAAAGGGTCGACAGCACGATCAGCCTGGGATTAAAGACGCACTCGTGGGTTTATGGGTTAGTTATAGTTGTAATGTGTGTGCAGTGTGTCCTCCTGAATCAGCGCCTGATGTTTTGTGGCACTTGTTTAGCGTGACGTTGCAGAAGTGAAGTGTGTTCATGTTGATTGTAAATGCATTGTCACGGCAGACTGTTTGCACTTCAGCTTCCAGACGGGTTAGTCATCACACACACACACACACACACACACACACACACACACACACACACACACTCCAGGCTTAAGTAGGTCATGATGTGTGTGTACTGCCTCCGCCCTTTCAGGACATTCCTCTCTCATTATCCCATACGTTATGAATCTTAGCATAACACGCTGTAATATACTGTACTGGGGTCTAGAACTGTGCTTGGGATCGTTACCAGAAGTGTACGTGCGCTGAAGCCCAAACGTGGCGTACGCCAAATAATATTCAGACGTATAAAAGCGTGTGTACGCCAGAACCTGCACAATATTCCCTTTATAACCCCAGTCAGAGGAAGAGTGTGTTCACACGCGTCTCCACCCCGAAATAACCAGATATGAGCTGACAACGCCTCCTTTACTATATCCTCATCTGCATATGCATATTCATCTGCGTGATCCGTGTTTAACGCTACCAGACATTAGGAGAATATGAGATATGGACTTTGCTAAAAATCATTTAGTAGCCGATGTTAGTACTAGTGTGTTTAATTGCTTTATATGTTTACTGTAAACAGAATTGTGCATTATTGATCATTATTAGCGTGTAAATATTCCCTCAGATCACGAGTTCTGCTGTTATCCTGCGCTGAGCGAACATTAACACACACAAGTGTTCAACGCCGCGCATACACTACTAATATTACTACTTATTAGAATATAAAACATGTTGCAACTTCTCGGTAATGATTTCATGTAATTTAAGTGCTTAACTCCATTAATGAGAAGGGCATATTTAATCTAATTGTGCATATTAGATCATTTTAATCATTCTTTGACCTGTTATTGTGAACATCACTGTATTTATGATCAGTCATATTGCGTATTAAAGTGTGTTTCCTTCATCTGTGTAAACGAGGCCCTGGTCATTCTCTGCAAAGGACGTTTTCCGTTAAATTGGATTTGGAGAACGAACTGGTGTGACTTCGTTTAATGGGTGTTGTACTTTTCTATTGTTTATTTAGTTTTGTTGTCCTCGATCATTTATAATGTAGAGCTGTTTTGATGTAATGTACAGCAGTGTAGCCTGGAAGGTGCTTTATTAATATAACACAGGCCGTTAGCAGGACAGCGCGTGTTCATCACTGCATCTGCACCTCTTGGTTATGATGATGGGAAAAGCATCTTTCGGCAGGTCAAAAGTAGCCGTGTTTTCTGATAAAACAGGTTTTTTTCCAAACAACATATGAATCAGTTGATGCTTATGACTCTCGACAGGGTTTGGACGCCTGTGTTACATCTCAAATCAATCAGTAAACCGGGTGTTAATATGGGGTGTAAACAGGGCCAAAAATGATGGGAGACACCAGTGTTAATAAACCTGTATCATATTTGATGAACTTCTGAATGATCAACACATGATGAACTCCAACTATCTCCTGCAGTGCTTCTGTGTCGGATCGAGAGCTCACACTCTTTTATCCAGTTATTCAGTGTAACTCAAACGTCCTCCTTCAGTCTTTCTGTCAAATCTGCCTGATTTATCAAGGAAACGCAAGAATAACTTTGATATTGTCAGTAATATTTCAGCTGGACTGAAGCAGGTTTACTTGATTATCCAGACAACATTTATTAGAAAAATCACGAGTGTTAAATATGATCATCAGGCTTTTGAGGAAAGTTTATTTGTTCATCTCTCAATCATCATTGTATTGCTTTGCATTATGTTTACAACTACAGCGCTTTGATCATAAAACTAATCATTAAATATCATCTTACCAAGACATTATTAGCAGATATTGATATTTATATGCATTGTATCCAAGTATCTGCTTTACTGTGATAAAGATCTCATTGACTTCCATCATCAGAATTCCAGCATTTTTTGATGCAGTTTGGTGCAGATGCTGATATTTATATTTGCTCAGTTTGGGCCTCTGGGCTTCATATTCTCACTATATCAGACTATATGAGCCATAAAAGACTGATATATCAACAAATATGACACTCAACAAAAAAAACGTTTGCAAACTATTTATTTTTTCTTTTATATGTTGTCTAAAGGTTCAATAAACAGTTCCGTTTATAAAAAAAAAGAAATCAGACTATTATTTCATATGTCCGGCTTTGCAGGGTTAAAAGCCAGCTTTATTAAAACATGTCCTTACGGGGCTGAGGATGAGGACAGTAAACAGCTCGAACACACACACACACACACACACACACAGACTGTGTGGACATGATAAGACTATACCGTACAAAAGGTCAAAAAACATTCCCTACATTTAGTCAGAATTGATTTGTGTCTCTTGGAATGTGATCGCTCCTGTGTCAGACGGGTTTGGCGCTACTACTCTCAGATACAGGCAAACACACAGATTATAATAAAAACCTTGTTAGTGTCGTTCCACATTAGGGGTGGGAGTCTCTAGGCACCTCGCGATTCGATTCGATTCCGATTCAGAGCGCTGCGATTCAATGCTAAAACGATTATCGATAGGGGGCTCTGTGGGCCAGTATAGGGGTCTCTGTGGGCCAGTATAGGGGTCTCTGGGCCAGTATAGGGGTCTGTGGGCCAGTATAGGGGTCTGTGGGCCAGTATAGGGGTCTGTGGGCCAGTATAGGGGTCTCTGTGGGCCAGTATAGGGGTCTCTGTGGGCCAGTATAGGGGTCTCTGTGGGCCAGTATAGGGGTCTCTGGGCCAGTATAGGGGTCTGTGGGCCAGTAAAGGGGTCTGTGGGCCAGTATAGGGGTCTGTGGGCCAGTATAGGGGTCTGTGGGCCAGTATAGGGGTCTCTGGGCCAGTATAGGGGTCTGTGGGCCAGTATAGGGGTCTCTGGGCCAGTATAGGGGTCTCTGTGGGCCAGTATAGGGGTCTGTGGGCAAGTATAGGGGTCTCTGTAGGCCAGTATAGGGGTCTCTGGGCCAGTATAGGGGTCTGTGGGCCAGTATAGGGGTCTGTGGGCCAGTATAGGGGTCTCTGGGCCAGTATAGGGGTCTCTGTGGGCCAGTATAGGGGTCTGTGGGCAAGTATAGGGGTCTCTGTAGGCCAGTATAGGGGTCTCTGGGCCAGTATAGGGGTCTGTGGGCCAGTAAAGGGGTCTGTGGGCCAGTATAGGGGTCTCTGTGGGCCAGTATAGGGGTCTCTGTGGGCCAGTATAGGGGTCTCTGTGGGCCAGTATAGGGGTCTCTGTGGGCCAGTATAGGGGTCTCTGTGGGCCAGTATAGGGGTCTCTGTGGGCCAGTATAGGGGTCTCTGTGGGACAGTATAGGGGTCTCTGTGGGACAGTATAGGGGTCTCTGTGGGACAGTATAGGGGTCTCTGTGGGCCAGTATAGTGGTCTCTGTGGGCCAGTATAGGGGTCTCTGTGGGCCAGTATAGGGGTCTCTGTGGGCCAGTATAGGGGTCTCTGTGGGCCAGTATAGGGGTCTCTGTGGGCCAGTAAAGGCAGTATAGGGGTCTCTGTGGGCCAGTATAGGGGTCTCTGTGGGGCAGTATAGGGGTCTGTGGGCCAGTATAGGGGTCTCTGTGGGCCAGTATAGGGGTCTCTGTGGGCCAGTATAGGGGTCTCTGTGGGCCAGTATAGGGGTCTCTGTGGGCCAGTAAAGGGGTCTCTGTGGGCCAGTATAGGGGTCTCTGTGGGCCACT